TGCCTTTTGGTCGTCTTCACTATATTAATTCACAAGTTACGTGAATATTCTGTTGCGAAGGAATAATGTATACAGTATACTGTACGGCGATTAACCTCAGAAAGTTAGAATGTATATGCAATTTGCATTGATCGGCGGCAAAACTTGTGCGCATTTTTTGCGCAAACATCATGCAAAGCCTATATAGGTACTCTGTGGCCAACGAGTGGGGTGTTGTCGTTTTTATCATTCTGAAATACGCACTATGTATATTGTTCCATTATTATCAAACTGTATTTGGTGTTGTCCTTTTGCGACAACACTGCGGACAAGTTTGAAACCAAGAATCAAGATCCTTAGGCTTAGTGTATGATGAAAACCCAATTGCAAAGAGCTTATATGTATACTTATATATTTACTGCTGTGGTATAAGCGTCTTTTGTGTATTTGGCTTGATATTTTATTCACACATGCTATATTTGTGTGATTATGAAATTTCAGGTATATGTACAATGCTTTGTTAACTGAAGAACAAAGCCCATCAAAGGCAATGTGGTATACTTCTATATCAGGAAAGGAGCGCGCATTTTAGCGCAAGTCACAATGACCGGGTGTTTTTGCTTCGGAATTCGGATATATATATATATTGTAAGGGATATATGCATACTAGTTATTTTATTGTAAATAATGCACATGTTTCACTTTTGATAGTGTATTCGGTATATAGAACTGGTGTGCATAGTTTTAGTGCAAGTTATAGTACAAAAGGCTTGGCGTTCAGTGTAATGCATTCAGTTATGCGAAAACAGACCTATGTTTTAGTAATGTGAATTGCAGATATAATCGCAAAAACAAATTGTGAAATTTCCTGTATCTATTTATGTTCAATTTCAGGCTGTTCAATGTTTGTCCAGCACGGTATTCCTTTTCATAAGATGAAGTAAAGGCTTTCTGATACAATCGAAAACAAATATGATAAAGATTAGAATTAATTTGAAATGTATCTATATAAACTTACCGTCACACTTGTACTGATATATAGTTTAGAATACCAAAGGTTAATCCATGATCTTTTTTTCTTAAACATTGACTGCAAAACAAGGATGTTAGAAAGTAGATTTATCATTTGAATTAATGTGCAATAGTGTATAGTGTTCTATATTCGAGTCTTTCTCAAATTTTATTCATTGTATATAATCATGATATACTATTTATTTTCCATTTTATTATTTCACATTGTATATCTTTACTTGTAGCTTTTTGATACGAATTGCGATATCATCAATAAGCTTGGTGTGCTTAAAGATTTAAAAAAAAACAGCGTATTCCTATATTATATTAATCCTAGGCAGTTAATTCTCCACTGGACAGCTTAAGCCACTCGGGCCTTGACCTGTTAGTAAAACAGTAAATATTTATGACATAAAAATGCTTTTTGCTTTCTTACCCTCTAATTATATTTCACTGTTTTCATATTGTGTTTCAAGATATCCCAAACATCAAGATTTCACAGGTTGATTTCTGAAAATGCCATATTGGTTTCAGTTTGAAGTGAAGATTTTTGTGTGCCGTAAAGAAAACACACTTTTCGAATGTTTTGTCATGACCTCTTAAAACGCCATCAGTGCAAACCCGAGAGCGCATGTTGTTGACGCGATTTCAAAAATCATGTTTTTGTTCCGCAAACAAGGTTGCGCATGGTGCGCGTCGTGCCTCTATTGCGAACCCTTCCAGAACTAAAAAGATTTTTTCGTATTCGGAGTGCTTTATAATGCAAGGGTATAAAATTTCCAGCTTAAGTATCATAAATCTTGACGAATTGTCATGGCCACAGTATGCGACGAAAACAGCAATGGGAAAATAATGCCGTCTCGTGGTTCGCTTCAAATTAACGATAATCAAAGAAATCTGTTGTCGGATTTTAATAATGGTTTCAAAAAAAACCTCTTAAAGTTGCTCGCTTTTATAGACAACTATTAGGAAAATGTATTACGAGGTTTTCGTTAGTTTATTATAGTATATTTCCGTTTTGCAGAATTCAGATTAAGTTGTTTGAAGGAAAGCAAATGTCCACTTTACGAATGACGTTGTGTCGCAAAATTAAATTATGCAAAACATCAAGAATGGTACATTTGTACATTCGTTCTATGCTTTTCGTGGGAAGGGTGCGCGTGCTCATCTTGTGGCATCCTCATCATTGAACGCTTGCTTCCCTATAGTATAGGATTGTTATTAAGATTTCCTGATGGTTTATAGGATGGTTCATATCAACTAACCATGTGGTGGCTATAAAGTGCGCATGTTTAAGCCAGACAGATGACCTACATAGCTAAAGAATAATTTATAAAACGAGAGTGACTGGGCAGGCACGGTGCTGACAGATGTGACAGCAAGAATGTGTGCTTCTGTTGATTGGTTAATCATGTACTTTATGTCACGCTATATTCTTGGGACTGGTCATGACTTACCAGGGGGTGTGAGACGTATTAAAAATACAGGGATGTGTCCAGCCAGATCTGGTAGGAGGGGGGGGGGTGTTCATCGAGCTGTGGTCATGGTTCATGGTATCAACTAGAGACCGAGAGCTTCTACAGCTTGTCTTGCTTGACAAGGTTTTTGTAATTGCCTTATCTAATAAAAATGGATTTGATGAAGAAATCGCTCCCCCCCCCCGCATCTGCACTCCCCTTCTCCAAGGCTGAGATGGGTGCTCACTGCCCTGTATCCCCTCCCCCCAAACTAAATATCATCTTTGGAAAATGTGGGGTTTATGGCAGCATTTTTGGAGAACGTCCTAGTCGCGCACGACAATATTTTAGTCTGTGATCCGCATCACAATCCTAACCCTATTGTGCGCGATTAATTT